ATAGAAATGAACTAAATGTATATCAATTCAAATGATACAAAATGCTGGACAGAGACTTCTTACACAGGATCACGTCACCTACACAGCCAAACCATTGATTTTTCTTTTTTTTTTGGTGGAAGGGGATATCGTTAGTACTTTGTTAATTCCTCACAATTCGTTTGTCAGGTTGCCTGTATTTCCTATTAATAGAGAAGAGGAAATTCCTTTCTGACCTTGCGAATGATGATTTCCTTTCTTGAAGCATGAGATTTGATTGCCCTTGCAATCTTGGCTCACACTTACTGCCTGCATTGTGAATAACAGTTCCTTTCTCAGTTGTAGTGTTTGACTCTATGACCTTCCACAGAAATGAATTCCAAATACAGACTAAGCATTAGAAAATGGAGATGGGATTTCTTTGATACTAGATAGTAGTAGTATTGAGCTAGGAACATCCTGCTCTGATTTCTCTATAAATGCAAATCTGTCTGGGTTAGAGTGTGGATATCCAAATAGTTGCGGGAAGCATTTGCCCTCTGAAATTGTGCTTAAAAATCCCAGAGTAGATACCAGTGTAGCTTTTTGGATTAGAGGAAATAGAGAATATTTTGCCAATAAACTTAGCTGGAGGAAAGCAGCTATTTTAGTAATCTATCGATTCAGACTTTTGTTTTTGGAATGTGTGATGTTTTCTGTGGAACCAGAACAAAAGTTAATCTTTAATTATTTGACAATAAAAATATTTGCACAGTGCTTTGTAGTTTATGATGAGATTTTTCTGGTCTAATTAAAGTTATCACATTTCATTTTCTGAATAGTTCTCAAAGTAGATAGATACATTATTTTTATCGGTATACATCCCTATCAATTATGAGAATGATATTGGGAGGGAATATATAAAATACTCAGGAAAGCAACTGTTTCAAGTATTTTCAGACACTTTGGAAGGGCTTATTTAGATATAAGCAAAGTACTCACTACAAGCCAAACTTATCAATTTTTTCATGTCTCCTAAGAAATCTTACCACAGTTGGAAAAAATTGACATTGCTAATCTTGTTGCAGTTGGTGTGCATATTTGAATATGAAAAAAGGCACTTCAAAACATTCATAATGAAACATTTCAGTGTTTCATGTACCTTCTTCTCTAATTTGTCTGAATTTGAAAGGCTATACAGCACTATTTCAAGAAAGATGATTAAATTTGAAATGAGTGAGTATTTTTCAGTCAAATGTATAGAAGCAGAGAATAAAGTGATAGTTGCCAATGACTGGTGGTGGAATGAGGAATGAGGAGATTTTGGTTAAAGCATACAATATTTCAGTTGGGCAGATTAAGTTCAAGAAATTTATTGTACAACATGGTGACCATAGTTAAAAACTATGGATTGTATATTTGAAAATTGCTAAGAGAATAGATTTTAAGTGTCCTCATCACAAAAAATAATAAATATATGAGATGATGCATGGGTTAATGAGCTTAATTTAGCCATTCTGCATTCTTCTTTCTAAGATGTTAAGCTCCATGAGGGAAATGTCTGACTTGTTAGCCACTGTTTCCTAACCTTGACACATAATGAGTATTCGATAAATATATTTTTGAATGATGTTGATGATGCAAAATTCTCTACCTGTGACACACGGAAAGAGATTATTTTTTATGTGGAGATTTCAAAGTTTGTGTCTAGAGAAATGGGTCACATTTTGGGACAAATAGCTCAAACATACTTGACTCTTCCCCAGCACAGTACTTTCTTAAAGATAAGTGAGACAGTGCGAGCACTAGCACACTGGCACATAGTAAGTCCTCAAGGAATCATCTTTCCTCTAATGATAGATGATGATAATGAATTCAAATATTGAGCATGAAAATATCAAAGGATCTATGTTCTAGATAAAGTTGAGAGGTCAAACTTTTTGGAATGCAAAATGTAATCCATTTGAGACTAAGTAAATGAATCCTCCTTAGCATCCAAATTCAAACCACTCTGAACAGCAAAAGTTTTAGCTGTTTTTGAAAAATGAACAGGATTAGAAATGCAGGACAGTAAAAATTTAGAATCCAAATCAGGTTCTGAAAGTCAAAACTAAGTAAAAAAAAAAAAAGTATTCCGAGGCTATATATTAGTTACAAGTTTATACAATAAGTGTCTCGTTGCCTAAAAATGCCTCTAGTCAGAATGGTAACTGGCAGTTGTGGGATACCTGCCCCCTTACAACACGAGGCTGAATGCTTGGGAAGAAGAACCACAAAGTAAGGCATCCACATTAGCCTTTCACAACAGGAGTGGACACTTGGGGCTCCAGAGAGGATGGAGCCAGTAATGAAATCCAGTGCCAGGATTCCCTTTAATAGCCTTTTCTAACCTTAAAAAGGCCAAGTCTGCATGATGAAAATGGCTTCAGAAAATGGACTCTTTAGCCCCCTTTATTTATATTTATGTATTGATCCAGACTTCAGGGCTTTCTAGAATTTCTTTTAATAATTTTATACATCCCAGCCACAATGTTCAGTATAGCTCTGTTCAGGTTAACTGGTATTTGCTAAATATCTATTCTTTGCCAGGCTCGAGGGATGTAGAGATGAATACAGACTAAGAGCCTACTTAAGAGAGCTCAGTCTGGTGGAAGAGATCAACATGTAAGGGACACCACTTAACACCGTGGTAAGGGCTGTGATATACCCTGCGTAATAATATAGGAGCACAGTAGAGGGTATCAAAGATGGGCTCCTGGGCCTAGGACTGAGAATTTAGAGCAGGATTCCTGGAGGTAAACCAGAGCAGAGTCTGAGTGTTTGTGTGATTGTTAGTTGAGGGAGGGCATTTGTATTAGTCTGCTCTCATACTGCTATAAAGCACTAGCTGAGACTGGGTAATTTATGAAGAAAAGAGGTTTAATTGACTCACAGTTCCACAGGCTGTAAAATAAGCATGGCTGGGGAGGCCACAGGAAACTTACCATCATGGAGGAAGGTGAAAGGGAAGCAGGCACCTTCTTCACATGGTGGAGCAGGAGAGAGATTGAAAGGGAAGTGCTGTACACTGTTAAACAATCAGATCTTGTGAGAACTCACTCGCTATTTCGAGAATGGCAAGGGGCAAATCTGTCCCCATGATCTAATAACCTCCCACCAGGTCCCTTCCCCAACACTGGTGATTACAATTCAACATGAGATTTGGGTGTGGTCAAAGAGCCAAACCTTATAATTACAGGCAGAGCAACAGTTTGAACAATGGCACAGGTGTGTGTGTTTGTGTGTGTGTGTGTATGTGTGAGAGTTATGGTAATCTGCTTGTTTTTTGTTGTTGTTGTTGTTTTGAGACTGAGTCTGGCTCTATTGCCCAGGCTACAGTGCAGTGGCATGATCTTGGCTCACTGCAACCTCAGCTTCCTGTGTTCAAGCAATTCTTATGCCTCAGTCTCCTGAATAGCTGGGACTACAGGCACATGCCACTACATCTGGCTAATTTTTGTATTTTTAGTAGAGATGAGGTTTCACCATGTTGGCCAGGCTGGTCTGGAACTCCTGACCTCAAGTGATCAGCCCGCCTTGGCCTCCCAAAATGCTGGGATTATAGGCATGAGCCACCAGGACCAGCCAGTAATCTACCTTTTATCCTTGTATTCTCCACAACTCACAATAGAATTTGTGGTTATAACAAGTAACTATGGTGGGAATTCCCAGAGTTGGGAAGGAGCTTCATAATGCGATGGGGTTTGAAGGGTGGATTTTGAGATTCTCTCACAATTTCAGGAATGTAGGGGCATTGATGACATGAGATAGTTGTATAACATAATAATGACTATGACATAACCTAAGGAAGAGGATGGGGGAAGAGGCACGTGAGGAGTGAGAAGCCAGATAGTAATGCCATGCTAAAGAGCTTGGGTATTTTTGTTTTTGTTTTTTTGAGACAGAGTCTCACTTTGTCACCAGGCTGGAGTGCAGTGGTGTGATCTTGGCTTACTACAACCTCCGCCTCCAAGGCTCAAGCGATTTTTCTGCCTCAGCTTCCCAAGTAGCTGGGACTACAGGCATGCACCACCATGCCCAGCTAATTTTTAGAAGAGATGGGGTTTCACCATGTTGGCCAGGATGGTCTCAATCTCTTGACCTCGTGATCTGCCCGCGTTAGCCTCCCAAAGAGCTGGGATTACAGGCATGAGCCACCACGCTTGGCCAAGAGCTTGGGTTTTTAACCTGTAGGCAGTAGGGAGTAACTGAGGGGTTTAGAGTGGACAGTGACATTGTCAGATTTTTGTCTTACATTAGAGCTCAAAAACCAGCTAAATCCAAAATGCAGGTATATGTATGGTTTAGCCTGCTTAAGGTTTAAACATTTTTTGTCACAGTATGGAGACTATATTCAAATTTTAGAGTCTGTATTCCCTTATGACAACAATATGTAGAGGTGAATAGCAGCTGACCCAGTGGATGGAGAAAGAAACCATCTTTCTCTCAGTTCCCACATGTTAAAGCCGGTGGAAGGATTCCTGAGTGTTTCAGTTTTGCTCATTCCTGAACTAATTATGCTGTTCTGTGGTTAGTCAGGACTGAGCCAATTAGCCCACCCCATCGTGGCGGGGTTTGCCATGCTTATTGTCTCTCAACTAGGACCAAATGGAATGGGAAGTCAGTAACTTCTTCGATGGCCATGGGTACAGAATGGAGGTGTAGGGACACCGCAAGACAGTAGAAAGTAGAAAGACAGTAAATAATTTCAACAAATGTGTGAGCTGATGTGCTCAAGCTGTGAATACACTGTTTTGGTAACACAAAGGAGATGACAAACTGCCTCAGAAAAGGTGACCCAAAGAGATTAGAGTGGACTTAGTAAACAGGGAAATAGGGGAAGAGAATGTTCCTAAAACACTCGTAGAATTTACTTGTTATGTCTGCCTATATTATTTCGCTTTCAAGCAGGTCCTGTTTTAAACAGTAGACCGCATGGTTACCCTCTATAGAGTAACACTGTGGTGGAGACTTGTAGCTTTCCACTAGAATCATTCCTCTCTTTTTTTGAAATACAACTATACTCTATCTCCCAGCCAGACTTGCAGTTGGAAACGGCCATGTGACTAAGTTCTCTCCAATGGAATGGAAGCAAAAATGATGTGTCCCCAATAGTGACAGAGTTCAGGATTATGAAAAAAGAAAGAAAATGTGCTTCTCTTCCTTTCCCAAACTTCTTGTGTCACAAGTGTAACTCGCCCTGTGATTAGGGGAGAGCTTTCAATTAGGCATGAAATGAAAAAATTGAGCCAGGCTGAATGAAAATTATTTACATTCAATTTTATTTTTAATTAACAAATAATAATTATATGTATTTATGATATATGATGTGATGCTATGAGACACACACATTGTGGATTGATTACATCAAGCTAATAAACATATCCATCACCACATAATTATCACTGTTTTGCTGTGAGAACATTTAACATTTTGGAAATACATACAACATATTATTAACTATGATCACCATTCTGTGCAATAGATCATTAAAACTTATTCCTTCTGATGGAAACTTTGTACCTTTTGACCAATCAGTATAGGTGAATAGAGAGTTATAGGTCTGCTTAAGATGTTTTTAAGGGGCCGGACGCAGTGGCTCACGCCTGTAATCCCAGCACTTTGGGAGGTCGAGGTGGGTGGATCACCTGAGGTCGGGAGTTTGAGACCAGCCTGACCAACATGGAGAAACCCCATCTCTACTAAAAACACAAAGTTAGCCTGGCATGATGGCACAGCCTCCCAGTTACTCAGGAGGGTGAGGCAGGAGAATCACTTGAACCTGGGAGGCGGAGGTTGTGGTGAGCCGAGACTGGCCATTGTACTCCAGCCTAGGCAATGAGAGTGAAACTTTGCATCAAAAACAAAACAAAAAAAGATGTTTTTAAGGAACATATGAAGGCATTGCTATGCAAAATAAGCAAGTTGTCAACTAATATGGTGATGTGATACCGTTTCTGTAAACATAACATTCACATACTTTACATGTACCTGTATTTCTATACATGTGCCTAAGAAAATGTCTAAAATTTAAAATACAAGACCATTAACAGCACCTCTGAGTGTTCATTAATTGTTGTATTACAATGCATTAATGGAGATTTTCAGTATGAAAACATAATGACATTGGGTGTTGTTTTTGATAATCTTAGAGACGAAGTAGAGGTTAGGTAAGTTTCATTAATAATTGCAGACAGCCAGTGGATCTTTATCCTGGTTTTTTTTTTTTTTTTTTTTTTTTTGGTATAATATTCCAAAATAAATTCTCCTAGATTAAAGGCTCCAAATGTAATTTATTTTCTCATTATGTCATCAAAAATCATATTAATAGAATTCTGATTTTTGACTCTGAGCTTTCATAATTTTATGCTTCAATATGAATTTTAAAATTGCCAGTTTGTTACTTTCTAGCTATTTTTTCCTTTTATCATATTTTCTGCTGTATCCAAGACAAAATTAAAAATCATAAGCACTGAAGTTAGACATGCCTGGATTTGAATCCCAGTTTTTCAATTTTCTTTGTCTCGTGTTCATAAGCATGCTACTTAACCTCTTTAAGCATCATTTTCACAAACCTGCTGAAGTTCTTTTGGGAACTGAATGATACAGTGTATCTGCAGTCCCCAGAACAGGGTGACAGAGTGGACAGTGTGTATCTCACCCTTTTATCATCCTCATCTTTGTTCTCATTTCCATTCACGTTAAAGAACCAGTAAATATAGTTTAATGCGGTTCTTAAATAAGAATTTATTCATCTTCCATTGTCCTACATTAATTTACACTACCCTCTAAATTCTTACAAAAGTTTACTAGACTATTGGCAATTTTAAAAGCAAAGGTGATAATAATTTATCTACTTTTGTCTATTTTTATAAATGTTAGGTTTTCTTTTTAATTATATTTGATCTTTTAAAAATTGAGAAGAAATTAGGGAAAAGCAATTATGTAGGAGAAAGTATGGATGTAGATTAAATGATAAGGAATGAGTACAGTAGTAAATTAGATACATTGATGGATAACAAGGAAAGAAGTATTAAAAAGAGACTTTTTAAATTACAAAATTAATGCATCTCTTTCTCTTCATATAGATAGAAAGAAAGAAAGATAGATAGATAGAAAATTTAGTTGAGTAAAGCTGATATAAATTAAAAAGAGAGAGGGTTATACTACTCATGACCTCACCATTCTGAGTAGATATTCTCATACGCCCTTCTTATATTCTGATACGTATTTAAAATGTTATTTACTTTTTGAGATTTGATTTTTTTCACTGAATGTATTGATACTATTTCCCATTGTTAAATATTTAATGACATTATTTTAAATAGATGATCATATTCTACCCTACAGCTTTATTTATTAATCCCCTTGTTTTTGAACATTTACATAGCATGCAGTCCTTTTACTATTGCAAGCAATGTTTTGTCATCCTCTTAGTCAATATTTGGGTGCATATTCATCATTATTTCCTGTTGACAAATTTTTAGAAGTGGAATTTCTGGCAAATTAAAACCACAATGAGATGCCACATTACTCCTGCAATAATGGCCTTAATTAAAAAGTCAATAAACAATAGGTGTTAGTGTGGATGTAGTGAAAAAGCAACACTTTTAAATTGCTGGCGGGAATGTAAATTGGTACACCCATTGTGAAAAACAGTGTGGAGAATCCTTAAAGAACTAAAAGTAGAACTACCATTCGATCCAGCAATCCTACTACTGGGTACCAACCGAAAGGAAAATAAGTCATTAGAAGAAAAAGACACATGCGCATGTGCATGTTTATGACAGCACAATTTGCAAATGCCCATCAACCAATGAGTGGATAAAGAAAACATGGTATAGATACAAAATACATTATATATATATACATATATATATATATGTATATATATATACATATATATATGTATATGTATATATATATACATATATATATGTATATATATATATGTATATATATATAAAACACCACTCATCCATAAAAAAGAATAAAATAATGTCTTTTG